GAGTTCTGGAATGTGAGGACGGCGCCGCGCATCAATCCTAGGCTCATCTCTGAATGGGGGATCATGCGGATTCAAAATCCTGTGAGTCTTTATTTTTGGAGCACAGGCCACAAGCTGTTACGTCTCTGCGTGTCAGGGAACACTTTTAACCTTTACGAGAATTTTTACTCAGTTACAAGCTGCCAATGCCAATGATCTCTATGACACCCTGCACCCACATAAATACACACTTATTTAAAATTACATTTCATCATTATCTATATGTAAAAACAAAGTCAAAAAGTAATGCTTCCAACTTACCCACCTCCCCATTCCAGCCAGGCTCGCAGTCCTAAAACTTGGTAGACAAAAATTCTGGAGCTGCCTGTGTTTTCGCTGGACACCACAGACAGTCGTTGGCTCAGACCAGCACAACTATCTTAAAGAAAATGAAGACACACTGTCCATGATGCTAGGAAATTGGAATACTTTTAGGTCGACCACCTTGGCTTCCCCAAATAAAGGTCACGATTTAGATCTCGAGGCAAACGTGAATTGCCTTCTGGACCGAAATCCTCCTCTGCTCCAGTGAACAGAAGTCACTCAGTGGGACTGCCAAATAAAAGGCAGCTGGAATAAGCTTAGACTCTTACTTGCTGTTGCAGCCTTTACACAGCAGCCCTTTCTTCTGCTCTTCTCTGATTGGTAGTGTTCAAAGGTCCCATCAAGCCAGGAGAAGCCTAGAGGTGTTTTTACAAAGGCAGAGTGAAGTGGAAAGATAGTTATTCATCCTTCCCTTCAAAGCTCAGGTTTCCAGAAACAGCTTCTGTTTGTTTCAAGTGGTTTCTCTTTTTTTTTTTTTTTTTTTTTTTGCAGAAGGTACTGGGAACAGTACCTCCCAAAGGGAGAATATGTCCTTAAAATGCGTGGAAATAGAAGTCTCTAAAACAGAAAATTTCAGAGCAATTTCAAAGTCCATCAGCTGTTTATGACTGAGTTGAGCCAGCTAAGGAAGCCCATTGGGTTTCCAAGACCGTAAATCTTTACAGCAGTAGATTGCCCTATCTTCCCTCTGCTGAACAGTTGGTGGGTTTGAAGGGCCAGTCTTTTTTTTTTAATTTTATTTTGATTTGGGTGAAGATTTACAGAGCAAATTCACTTTTCATACAGAAGTTCACATATACTTTGTCTCATGTCATTG